TCTCCATCATACTCTGGTCGAAGCTGGCAGGTTGATTCGCAGGCGTCTCGGTTGACGTTGCTCTGGGTCTTGTTGCCGTGCCTTCCTCTGTCTGCAGGCCAGAGGCAGGAGGTGGGGTAGGACTAGTGCCAGGGGAGCTCTTAGATGAGCTCCTATCCTTCTGTGTTGCCATGTCTTGAAATGTATTTGATGAAGTGGAATTTCCCCCGTTAGCTCTGATACCATGTTGGGCTGAGAAAAGCCCTTAGGATCTTTGCAGGGGTAAACTCTGGTAGGAACTATGTAATAGCGGAAGCGTATTAGTGAAGTACTTGTGAACCACCTTGCGCTGGTATGTGAGGGCAAAGTAAGTTAATTAAAACGAGATACAAGAATATATATAAGATTACAAGGAATACGAAAGGATATAGTTGTAACTACTTTTTTTGTTTGCTGTTGCGGTTCGATACAGTGACGACTCGGGCAACTGCTCTGTAGCGAGTCAGTTGTGTGTCCTTGCTGTCGCGCTGTATTTGTCAGGTCAAAGGTCGCTGACCTTTGACTTTCGCGTAACCTCCAGCAACCAGGGCTCTTGCTAACTTTTAGGCCAGTCTGACATGTTTCTAAAAAAAAAAAAAATTCGTCTTGCCCTCATATGGCGGCTTCCAGGGTGGTCTTAGCCTCAGACGGATTGTTTTAGTTCGAATGACTGCTCAGACTAATTTTCTAAAAAACAGAGGTCTACACCACAAAATGCCTAATGTCTACTACCAACTACACACAATCAGTCTACATTCATTCATAATGATCTAGGATTCGCTATCACTACCAGTAAAGTAACCTTCCTCGTCGTCGTCGTCCCCGTCTAGCTCTGAATCCGAAGTCATGTGCACTTTGCCGTGGCCAGCCCGTCTCTGCCAGGGGCCCAACTCCTCCTCTAGCCTGGCTGCTTCTTCTGCAGCTGCTGCTTCACGAGCAGCAGCATCTGCTGCTGCTGCTGCTGCTGTTGCTGCCGCCTGCTTCGCGGCCAGCATCACAAGGGTCTTCTTCGTGCGCTTCACGGGCCTCTGCGCATGCGCCATCACCACATCCTTGGCTGGACGCCTCTTCTTCGCGCCTCTCCAAAGCTCTACAAGCGCGGGCCAGTTTGGTTCGTACTTCAGCATGGAGACGGTCATCAGGTCGCCCAGCTTCGCGTCGTTCAGATTGCCGCGTAGCCAGCTCTTGATGATGTTCTGGCGGGAGAAGCCCCGCTCGCACTCCACGGTGCTCAGGGGCAGCACTGCGACGGCCATCCAAAGGCGGACCAGGTTGGGGTAGGCCGTGCACCAGTCGGGGGAGCTGAGCATCTGCTTCAGGCCGTCCTGGAAGCTCTGCTCCTGCTGATGGGTCGACATGATCGTGGTGAAACTGCTGAGCTCCTTCTGTGCCCTCGTCCAGTTGACTCCTGGTGGCGGGGTGCGAATCAGAAGCACGTGTACTGTTATACGCGCTGGTATTCAAAAGTTATCAAGCTATAAGAAATCAACGGGGCAATGGCGACAGAAACGTCATATCCGCCACAATCAGGCACAAGCGAAATCAAAGACGTACCTGGCAGAGTGTCAGGGTATTCCGGTCTCCGCTTAAACAGATTGCGGAGAGCCTCCAACCACTGTAAAAACCGCCACTGCCGCTTCGAGTGAGATTTCGGGTACGCCCCCTGCGTGAACAGCTTGGCGCCCTCCAGAGAGCCCAAGTCTTTCATCCGGCTCTCCGGACGCTTCAGCAGCTCCTTCACATACCCCTTCGCCAGTGTGATGCAGTCCTCCAAGCCCCCGCCAGATTTCTGACCTTTGATCTTCTCCTCGTGAAGGGTGTACTCATGCGTGGTTGACGCCCCAGTCGAGTCGGTGCCCGTCACCTTCACCACCCTCTTCTCCGAGGACGCATGCTTCGCCAAGAAGGAGCTCAACTCGTTGCTCCCATCTCCGAAGTCGTCCGCGTCACTCAGGTAACGGTTGCGGAGCGTGAGCCTGGTGCTGTCCACCATCTGCAGCACGTGTGTCACGTCGACCTGCCACACACATGAGAGGCAGTGGAAAGGCACGCACGGGTGAGTGTCATAGACAGGCGGTTCAACAACACAAAGTCGGTGCCCGTCACAGCAACAAGCATAACAACGTACATGCCATCGCTGGAATTTGAGGTTGAGTGCGTCAAGCTCTTTCAACACATCAGCCAGGAAAAACAGCAGGAAGTAGAATTTAAAGCTGGTTACGAGGAGGTAGGCCGTCGGGTCGTTCTCGTACAGCAGAATGACAGCCGCTGGAAGGTTGTCTGCCAGACGCTGAACCGCCAGACCACGTGAAAGCCACCTGACGCTGTGGATGCCCTGCAGCTCCAGGTTTGTTTGGCAGAGCACCTCCTGCAGCTCTTTGAAGCGTAGGTGGAAGTTGCCCGACCGTCCAAGCTGCTCCGCCAAGGAGCGGACGACATTGTCGACGAGGTCAAGGTCGGGGTAGGCCTCAGCGGCATCCTTTGCCGCCAAAGCTTCCCTGACACAACACGGGAAAAACGATAAGTTAGATAAACAAGCAACGATTGGTACAAATAACAGAAGTCGGGTTACAAACCTGTGCGCGACGCAGTGGAACCCGGCGAGGTGTGGAATCCGTGTTCGAAGGCGCGCCACCAGGCCCGTCTGAGAACCGGCCATGACGCTTGCATCGTCGGTGCTGATGCCGCTGATGCGTTCAAGCTCGAGGCCGGTGGACTCCAAGTGGGTTAGAAGGACTGCCTGCAGGGAACCTGCATCGCACTGCTCAACTGTTAGGTGCGCGAAGAATTCAGTCACTGGCGTGTTGTTGCGGAGGAAGGACAGGTAGACGATTTGGTGTTTTCCGCGGCGACGGTCCGTGCTCTCGTCCAGCTGAAGGCTCAGGTAAGGACTCTCCAGGATGTGCTTCATTTGTTGAGCACGAAGGTAGACGACGAGTGCCTCTACCAACTGCGCGAACCCGTACCTGCAACGATCATACACAACATTATTAGAAATGGGTTTTAACAGGCGGGTCCCCCAAAGCATACCAACACGTACTCGCTGTAGTATGTGCCTGAGTCCTTCAGGGGCATGTCCGGCGTGCCCATTTCTGCCATGAACTGGACTAGCGACACAAACAGCACAATGGGTGAGTCACTCCTGCAAATGAAAATGACGGTTGCCAACAGTTTTGCCAAACGGTTGGCTTCCGCGTCACCGTTCTCGAAGTCGACAATAGTCTTCTGAGCCGCGTTCTTGCCGTCTCGTAGCTGTTGTCAGTCCACTGCCGCCTCATGCTTGATCGAATGCTGGTGTTTCTGCATTGTCTGACGTTGAATGTCGAGCCCACCCTCCCCGTCGCGGCCGTACTGGTAGCTGGGGTCTCCGTGCACCATGCAGATCGAGCACCGCATGCAGGGTTGACCCCATGAGGTCTGCGAGATGATGAGCCACGGGAAGTGCTGGAGCCATTTCTCCTTCGCCTTCTCCTGCCACTGCTCGACGGTCAAGGCGCGAGACTTCTTGCCGTCCTTGTCGGCGGCGACGGGGTTTGATGGGCCTGGACGAGTAAAGCGGGGGACGGTAGCTGGGGCGACACCTGGAGTGGGACGGGCAAAACTGAGAACACGTTGTTTGAATTTGCCGTTCCCAACTCTAATGCGAGAAAAAGAGATCGCAGGTGCTGTGGTAGCCACAGATGCCGAAACGGGCGGGGGCGACGACTCAGCTTCAGCCGTGCTAGGCTGGGTCGAGGTCTCTGCCGCATCTGACGTGGCTGGCGAGGGGATAAGGTGATCGTTGTTGCAGGACGGAATGATGTTGGGGGGAGGAATTACAGGCTGAGGCGAGGCTACTGCGGCAGTTGTGGTCACTGGAATCGCGGCCGGAGCTTTCCGCGTTAAGAAATCTAACGCGGATACCAGGGGCGCCTCAGGTACCGCGGGTGAATTACGCTCAGGGTTGTCGGTTGAGGCGGGGGCGCCATGTTCGGCTAGCATTGTGTGGTGTGGTGAGACACATGAGGACGGGACGGGACGAATTGAAAGGGGGAGTGCAAGGTTGTCAAAGAAAGGCTTGGAGAAGAAGGGATGGGTGGTAGGGACCGTCTTGTCACGAACCGCGCCTCCCTGACGAGGGTTTCACGAAAGTGCAATGGCAGGTCCATGCATGCCTTGTTTGCTGTGCACCGACTGTCCTTGCATTCTGCCAGCGAGGGAGGGGGAAACTGCCTGGCAGCGGCGCCGACAACAGCTACCCGACAGATGCGTGGCAGCAACTGAGTCAGATGCGGAGTGCGCTGGCAGGAAGAATCCAAAGTTACCCCCCGAGCCCACACGCAATAATCATTACGCGTGAGCACACAGGCAACACATCGCTGCTCCACTGGCCAAGTGGGCCAGTTTGTCTCTTTCAGACGAAACTATACGCGATTTCTACTGGATCAGATCCCTTGCCATAACTCTCCTGAAAAGCATATGAACATATAGCATTTGTCTGGGCTCTCATATGGCCTAAAAGCAAAAGTCTGCCGCAACATATGAACTATTCATTTTGTGCCTGAAACTAAGACCAACAGACTAATTTAGTCTGCTAACGAGAGCCCTGCCAGCAACCCCTCAACCTCCGAGGGTTGACTCGCTGGTGCTTCGATATGGCTTACTTCGCTTCTGGTGCGGTGATTCGACACGACAGAGGCGCTTACGACTTGTTGTTTCCAACACTTGTATCTCTCTTTTGCCTAGTGCATTCCTCTGTCTGTACTTCTTAACAATGTACTGTAGAAAGTATGGGCTGCTACTTGTACCCCCCTGCTTGAACTCTCCAGCATGAGCTCCATGCGAGATGAACAAGCATCATTAACCAAAAAAAAGAATACAAAAAAATAGTACACAGACTTTACTTGTGCGTATAGAAGAATTGTCCTTGGACCCTGATCCATACAGCTCTACATATCAGGCAGCATGTGCGTAAGCGGCTCAATAATGCCGTGGTGTGGCAGCTAGATGATGCCTTGGCGGCGCAGGTCCTGGAAGGTCTTGCGGTCGTACACGTTGCCCTCGCGGTCCTCACACTCCTCCTCCACCTCCGGCCGCCATTTGCTGACTCCCTGCTTCTCCCGCATGCGCTCCCACAGGGCTAGCGCGTCCTGTAGTGCAAGTCAAGCATGTGCAGTGCAGCGGGCGGGAAGGGGACAGGAACAAGCAGAGTATGAAACAACATGAGGGGCACGATGGTCAGGCCTTGAAGCTTGCATGGCGTAGACACGGGCCCTGTTGATGCCACAAAGCACTCGCCGAAACACTTGACCCCCCCCGGCACATAACGCATGGCACAGAGCCAACTCAGGAATAGCTGCCCTCCCGTTCCCCGCCCCATTTACCCCCCCCAAAAGGCCCACCTTGATGACGGTGACTTCATGGAAGGCCTTGGTGTTGGGCACACCCAGGCAGCGCATGCCGTGTTGGTGCCGGAACTCCCTGAAGTGCCGCTCAAACGCCCGCCGTCCCCAGTAGCTGTAGTTGCCACAGATCTCACACTTGAACTCCTGGCAGGGGGCGGGGGGGGCGAGCGGCATGGGGGAGAGAGAGAGGAGGGCATGGCAGGACAGAAGGGATGAGGCCATGGCCGGGCAGAAGAATGAGCACAGAGTAGGGGCACCGGAATTGCCTTCACTCCACCAGGTGGAAATGGTCCACCTGAACGCACCTGGTTTGAGGTTCACCCCCACCTGGTTGAGCCCCCACCTGGTTGAGGCCGCACCTGGTTGAGCCCGTGCAGCTTGTAGAGCCAGTAGGGGATGGGCTTGCCGTCCCACCCCATGGGCAGCTTCAGCGGGTTGTATATCTCCTCCTCCTCCTCCTCACTCTCCTCCTCCTCCTCTACCACTTCCTCCTGCCACACACACACAGGCGCAAACAGTGGGGCGCACGCAGTGGGGCGCAGCACATGATGCATTCAGGGCTCGAAACATCAACGACAAGGAAAATGAGAAGGTCGACGGACCTGCACCAACTGCAAACATCCAGTTCTCATCCACCAGTTCTCTTCCACCAATTCTCATCCACCAGTTCTCATCCACCAGTTCTCATCCACCAGTTCTCATCCACCAGTTCTCATCCACCAGTTCTCATCCACCAGTTCTCTTCCCCCAGTTCTCTTCCCCCATCACTCTCTCTCCCTCTGACGTTCTCTCGCCCCCCCATCACGCACCTCCTCGCGCTCAGCAGCCATCTCCTCGTAGGTGAGCCCCGCCTTCTTCTCCACGTGCACGTGCGTCTCTGCGATGGGCTGCCATGCCATGCACAGCATTGCAAGGAGGGGGCATGATGATGGTGGTCGTGGTGCATGGTGGTGCATGCATGCACATGCACGACATGTCACACACAACACAAGTGGCAGAGAAGAGGTGCCGGGAGAGGGGAAGGTGGTTACTAAAGGGGTTGACAGCAGTGTCAGGAGCGGCCAAGCACACGGCACGAGCACAGCATAAGCGACCTGCAGAAACACCCCCCCCCCCCACTCACCCCATATCTTACTCCACCATTCATCCCGTCCCCCACTCACCCCATACCTTACTCCACCATTCACCCCATCCCCCACTCATCCCATACCGCCACCCAAACCCCCGTCCCCACCCCTCCCCCCTCACCTCCTCCAGCAGCTCACACAGCCGCTGCACCTTCGCCTCCACCAGCGCCACCTCGCGCGCCACACTGCCCCCGCCGCCGCCGCCACTGCCGTTGCCGCTGCCGCCATTGGTGCTGTCTGCAGCAGCACCCGCGCTGCCCTTGGCGGCCTTCTTCTTGGGCGGGGCGAACGCCTTGGCAAAGTGCTTCGGGTCAATGGCCTCAAAGCGTGTTGTCTGTGACAGCAGGGGACATGGCAAGGAGGAAGCGAGGGAAGACGGGTCATCATAGAAGCGAAGAGATGAGAGTGTCAAACAGGGTGGTGGCGCCATGGACGAGAGCGTAGCAGCATGGCAGAGAGTGAATGGAAGCGGGCCAAACGGCACCCCCCTCACATTAAACCAACAAGCAACACCCCTCCCAACCCCACCTTGGTCATGAGCAGTCTCTCTGCGCGCTCGCGCGGTGTGCCGCCCGTCTTGAGCCCCAGCGCGCCCAGCGCCTCCTTGAGCTTGGCGGGCGGCACGAGGTCCTCATCCAGCAGCTCGTCCACCGTGTCCATCTGAGATAGGTCCACCACACCCTGCTTCATGCCGTACCCCTCGCCCCCCTCCTCCTCGCCCCCCTCGCCCTCCCCCTCACCGCGCAGCACCCCCGCCCACCCCAGGCCCTGGTCCTCCCACCCCAGCACCTGCCCCTGCTCCCACCGATCCGTAAAGTCCTCCTCTAGCTGCCCCGCGGGGAGGGGGAAGGGCGGATGTGAGGGGATGCGGTTCATGGAGGAGACAGGGAGAGAGGAGGGGCGTGACATGGGTACAACAAATTATACTGTGAGACAGATTCAAAACTCATATTTGAAATGTACCGGACAGAGGGTGGGATTGCATGGATGGAAGGCATGCGCATGCAGGTGCCAAGGGATGAAGGGGGCTCGGGTGTGTTAGGGGGGAGGGTGAGGGGAGTGCCTACGAGAGGGAGGATGGGCACAGGAAAACGGAACAGCAAAATAGAAGTGTGTTGGGCTGCAGTGCTCGCCCCACCTTGCTGCAGTGCTCGCCCCACCTTGCTGCAGTGCTCGCCCCACCTTGCTGCAGTGCTCGCCCCACCTTGCTGCAGTGCTCGCCCCACCTTGCTGCAGTGTTCGCCCCACCTTGCTGCAGTGCTCGCCCCACCTTGCTGCAGTGCTCGCCCCACCTTGCTGCAGTGCTCGCCCCACCTTGCTGCAGTGCTCGCCCCACCTTGCTGCAGTGTTCGCCCCACCTTGCTGCAGTGTTCGCCCCACCTTGCTGCAGTGCTCGCCCCACCTTGCTGCAGTGCTCGCCCCACCTTGCTGCAGTGCTCGCCCCACCTTGCTGCAGTGTTCGCCCCACCTTGCTGCAGTGTTCGCCCCACCTTGCTGCAGTGTTCGCCCCACCTTGCTGCAGTGCTCGCCCCACCTTGCTGCAGTGTTCGCCCCACCTTGCTGCAGTGCTCGCCCCACCTTGCTGCAGTGTTCGCCCCACCTTGCTGCAGTGCTCGCCCCACCTTGCTGCAGTGCTCGCCCCACCTTGCTGCAGTGCTCGCCCCACCTTGCTGCAGTGTTCGCCCCACCTTGCTGCAGTGTTCGCCCCACCTTGCTGCAGTGCTCGCCCCACCTTGCTGCAGTGCTCGCCCCACCTTGCTGCAGTGTTCGCCCCACCTTGCTGCAGTGCTCGCCCCACCTTGCTGCAGTGCTCGCCCCACCTTGCTGCAGTTTTCGCCCCACCTTGCTGCAGTGCTCGCCCCACCTTGCTGCAGTGTTCGCCCCACCTTGCTGCAGTGTTCGCCCCACCTTGCTGCAGTGTTCGCCCCACCTTGCTGCAGTGTTCGCCCCACCTTGCTGCAGTGCTCGCCCCACCTTGCTGCAGTGCTCGCCCCACCTTGCTGCAGTGCTCGCCCCACCTTGCTGCAGTGTTCGCCCCACCTTGCTGCAGTGTTCGCCCCACCTTGCTGCAGTGTTCGCCCCACCTTGCTGCAGTGCTCGCCCCACCTTGCTGCAGTGTTCGCCCCACCTTGCTGCAGTGCTCGCCCCACCTTGCTGCAGTGTTCGCCCCACCTTGCTGCAGTGTTCGCCCCACCTTGCTGCAGTGCTCGCCCCACCTTGCTGCAGTGCTCGCCCCACCTTGCTGCAGTGTTCGCCCCACCTTGCTGCAGTGTTCGCCCCACCTTGCTGCAGTGTTCGCCCCACCTTGCTGCAGTGTTCGCCCCACCTTGCTGCAGTGCTCGCCCCACCTTGCTGCAGTGCTCGCCCCACCTTGCTGCAGTGCTCGCCCCACCTTGCTGCAGTGTTCGCCCCACCTTGCTGCAGTGTTCGCCCCACCTTGCTGCAGTGTTCGCCCCACCTTGCTGCAGTGCTCGCCCCACCTTGCTGCAGTGTTCGCCCCACCTTGCTGCAGTGCTCGCCCCACCTTGCTGCAGTGTTCGCCCCACCTTGCTGCAGTGCTCGCCCCACCTTGCTGCAGTGCTCGCCCCACCTTGCTGCAGTGCTCGCCCCACCTTGCTGCAGTGCTCGCCCCACCTTGCTGCAGTGCTCGCCCCACCTTGCTGCAGTGCCCCACCTTGCTGCAGTGCTCGCCCCACCTTGCTGCAGTGCCCCACCTTGCTGTAGTGCTTGGCGAGGTCCTGCAGCGGTTGTGTGCGGTGGAAGAAGGACTCGAGGTACTCCGCCACGCCGCCTATGTACCCGCGGTACGCCCTGCGCAGGGAAGCAGGGGGGTTGGGGGGTTCGGGAGCATTGCAGGTGTGGGGAGAAGGAGAGTTGTGTGGAGGGCGAGGGGAGGGGGGGGAGAGAGAGGAGGGGAGAGGGAAGAGGAGGGTGGACAGGGGGGAAGGATGGGTTTGTGCACAGGTGTAGAATGGGACATGCGAGCAAGGTAGGGCAGCAAATACGGGTGGTGGCCGCCTTGCCTCGTGGTGGCAACTCTAATTTACCCAACAGGTTAGCACTCGCTGTGCTGAAACCAGTCCCTTCAACCCTACCCCCCGCGCAGCGCACTTGGTGAATTTGAAGTTGCGGGGGATCTTGTGTGTCTGCGGCAGCTGGTCGAGAAAGGTGGGGTAGTCCATGGCTCGCCCAAACTTGGCGTTGCAGAACTGCTGGTGCCACGCGTGCATGTCCACGTGCTTGCCCATCGCCTCCTGGAGAGAGGAACGCGTGGCGGGAAGGTTGGGGGGGGGGGGGGGGGGGGGGCAAGGAGGGTGAGCAGATGGGGAAGAGAAGGCAAGTGGGGCTTTCAGTGGCAGGGTGCAGGGTTCACAAAATGCAGCAGACCTTTCACTCACAACTGCGCCAGCTGGGCAGGTGGCAGGGCAGGTAAGAGGGCAGGTGAAAAGGCAGGTGGGAGGGCAGGTTGCTTTGTTACATCACAAGCCCAGGTAACATCACAAGCCCAGGTAACATCACAAGCACTGCCATTACGTCTTCCTCGCATTCACTTTATCGAACGCAGCACCCAGTCAGTCACCACCTCCACCAAGTCACACCCCCCCTCCCCCTCCCCAAATCGACATTTGTTGCCTCGCCAGTGAAATCGCCGCCACTGAAATCACCTCGCAGCATTTCTCACCTCCCGCTGAACTGCACCCAGGGCTCACCTCGCCGCTGAACTCACCTCCCCGCTGAACTCACCTCCCCGCTGAACTCACCTCCCCGCTGATCTCACCTCCCCGCTGAACTCACCTCCCCGCTGAACTGCACCCAGGGCTCACCTCCCCGCTGAACTCACCTCCCCGCTGAACTCACCTCGCCGCTGAACTCACCTCCCCGCTGAACTCACCTCCCCGCTGAACTCACCTCCCCGCTGAACTCACCTCCCCGCTGATCTCACCTCCCCGCTGAACTCACCTCCCCGCTGAACTCACCTCCCCGCTGAACTCACCTCCCCGCTGAACTGCACCCAGGGCTCACCTCCCCGCTGAACTCACCTCCCCGCTGAACTCACCTCCCCGCTGAACTCACCTCGCCGCTGAACTCACCTCCCCGCTGAACTCACCTCCCCGCTGAACTCACCTCCCCGCTGAACTCACCTCCCCACTGAACTCACCTCCCCGCTGAACTGCACCCAGGGCTCACCTCCCCGCTGAACTCACCTCCCCGCTGAACTCACCTCCCCGCTGAACTGCACCCAGGGCTCACCTCCCCGCTGAACTCACCTCGCCGCTGAACTCACCTCCCCGCTGAACTCACCTCCCCGCTGAACTCACCTCCCCGCTGAACTCACCTCCCCACTGAACTCACCTCCCCGCTGAACTGCACCCAGGGCTCACCTCCCCGCTGAACTCACCTCCCCGCTGAACTCACCTCCCCGCTGAACTGCACCCAGGGCTCACCTCCCCGCTGAACTCACCTCCCCGCTGAACTCACCTCCCCGCTGAACTCACCTCGCCGCTGAACTGCACCCATGGCTCACCTCGCCGCTGAACTGCACCCATGGCTCACCTCGCCGCTGAACTGCACCCATGGCTCACCTCGCCGCTGAACTGCACCCATGGCTCACCTCGCCGCTGAACTGCACCCAGGGTTCGTCCTTGATGAGCTCGTCCACGTCCGCCTCGCCCTCCACCACCCTCGCCCCCGGGTGCCGCCTGTGGTACTCGCGGATCTGCCCCGCAGGGGGACGGAGAGGCGGGAAAGAAGTGAAGGGAGGGAGGGCGGTTGTGGAAATGGAAGAGCGGGCAGGGATGACGAGGTGGGGAGAAGAATTATTCAGACAGGGATGATGCCCCCACAATAAGGGTGGCATCAACAGGGAACGACTTTGACAGGAAGCGGGTGCCCACCATCAACCCCACTGACCCACCTATCCCCCCGCCCCCCCTGCCCCCTCTGCCACCCCTGCTCCTTCTGCCCCCTCTGACCCGTCTGACCCGTCTGTCCCCTCAGCCCTCTCTGCTCTCTGCCCTCTAGCGCCGCCCGTAAAGGCATGGTGAACGCTGTACGAGCCCCCCAGTGCTCCACACCACTCTAAGCCAATCTTAACCGCACACATCCAGCCCCTCACTGCGTGGTTCAGCCGCTCATAAAGCCAACCATAAGCACATCACATCGCAGCTCTCTTCACCGAACTGTGCCCCCCGCCCTCAACTCATTAACCCCTCGTCACCGCACTGCACTCCTGGTGTAGTCACCTCATTGAGGCGCTCGTAGAAGGAGGTGAAGACGGTGGCGCTGGGGTTGGGCGTGCCCTGCCCGCCCAGCGCCGCTATCTCGTCCCTCCTCGCCCCGTCCGCGTCCGCATAGATCTCCGCCTGAACCATGCATGCCCAGGGAGAAGAGATGCGGGGGAGGGGAGCGAGGGAACGGGAGGGAAGGGGGGGAAGCGGGAAGAGGAGGGGAGAAAAAGAAGAGGTATGGGGGTGGGTGGGAATGGGGAAAGAAGTGAGGAATTGAATAGGAGAGAAAGAGCAGGAGGGTGGGATTTCCAAAGAGGGACGGTCGAGGATGGCGGAAGAGGGTGGGGGAGTGGGGGGGCCAGGAGGATGACTTTTGGGAAGAGGTAAGTGTGAGGAGCAAGTTATTACCGCAGGGCGACTTGGCATAGTGGCGTAGGAGGTGAGAGGGGTGATAAGGGCGAGAGGCGCGAGAGTAGTGATGCGTGAAGTGAAAACCGCACAGCAGCGCGTGCAAGGTCGTGGTGGCTCGACTGGCAAGGGCGAATGGAGAGAAAGCGTCGGGGAGGCTAGTAGGGTACGAGGCTGCTCCTGCCTATTTCCACGCGAATCGCCCTGCTTCCATCAATCGCCCCACCGCCCATCACCCGCTCGCACAGCGAATCATCAACGCCGCTAGATTAACTGTCAACGCCATCAGCAAGACGACGAGCCGCACATCAGCAACCGAATGCGAGGCGCGAGGCACGCAGCGCCACGAGGCACGCAGGCAGGGCCTTCGGGAGTGCAGCTAAGCAGAGACGGTAGTGAAGCTTCGCGAATCGAAACTAGAGTCGAGATCCGCCCGTCCCGCCGGCGTCGCTTCGCCCGCCGCCGGCAGTCGAGCGAGTGGAGCGACTAAAAGTAACCATACCGCCAGCGAGAACCCTAACAATCTCAGCCCTAACCAGCTTTGCCCTAACCAGCTTCGCCCTAACGGTGGTGGCGGGCGACGCGGCGTACCAGGCGCGCGCTGTTGGCGACGATGGCGTCGACGACGTTCTTGATGCGATGGCTCTGAAACAGCTTGTCGCGGTGCGACGACAGGCTCTGCTGCAGGTCCTTCACCGCCTGCCGCTCCAGCCGCTCGTTCTCCTCGTGCGTCGCGCGCGCCTGCTCCAGCAGCGTGGACGCCATCGGGGTACGGCGTGCGCGGTGGTATGGGGATGCGATCACGAATCGACCAACACTCACAAAGAAACAGCCAGGTTACACACTTGTTGCAGCCTACCGTTCTTGTATCGTGGCTCAGGACGGTTCCAAATGGTGGAACGCGGCTTTGAAGAATTACCGTTTAGCACCGTGACTACACGAAGTTGACCGCAGCGAGCGTACAAAAGTTGTGCGGCCTGACGAGTGTTTTGCTTTGCTCCTACTCCAAGCTAACTAGCGCATGTTCCATTTATGTCTCCTGTTACGAATTGTGACACTTTAAAGCCCGCGGCCCAAATTGCAAGCCGCGCGGGTCAAGTTTTTAAAACATGACCCCCTGACTTTCGGGTTACCAAGTGTCTGGGAGAAAAGGTCCGCGCGACTCAACACAGGCTGTGAGCCAATGAGAGTTGACTACCCTCATGTTGTGAACAGGCCTCTCGATGTGTTTTTGGGCACCCTGCCAAAAGTGAGATCTGTTCGACCTTCACCCTGCCATTGCAATGTGCCAAGCGCGGCATACTCAAGAAATTGCAGGGTTCTTTGATTTTCGTTGTGGAAACTGGAAGGGTAAAATTTTCGCCAACACTGTTCTGCTCTGATTTCCGTTTTTCTGAACAAAATCACACACAGCCAGGGCTGGGCTGGGAATTGATGGTGTAGAGGGACGCGAAATGAGGAGGGGTGGGGAGAGGTGCGTAAGTGAGAAGAGTCGAGAGTGTGCTGGTAAAGGAGGGGGGGAAACCCCTCTGGGTGTTACCCACACCTGGCTGTCGGTCGTAACCCGCCTCCCCATTTGTTTACACTCCTCGCTGGGTCAACGAGGTTGTTCTATCCACTCCCAGATGAGCACCTGTGTAGCCCCTTTTGGAGGCTGGCAGAATACGCCGCAGGGGGGATTTGATCCCGGGACCTCATCTTTCGGAAGTGAACCAGCTACTCGCTGGGCCACTTCAGGATGAGTCGAGAGTGTGCTGGAGTGACTTGCCGAATGATCAGTGTGGCTCAGTGACTTCGCCTGTTTTCCTGTATGACTAGTGTGACTCAGTGACTCGGCCAATTTTCCAGTGCGCTTGAATGGCTTCCCCAGATTAGCGTGTCTCAGTGACTCCAGTTAGCGTGTCTCAGTAACTTATACAAGTTTCCATCGTGTTTCAGTGTCTTCGCGGACTTGGACAAATTTCCTGTGTGTTTCAGAGTCTTCCTTGACTTAGACAAGTTTCCATCGTGTTTCAGTGTCTTCGCGGACTTGGAGAAATTTCCAGTGTGTTTCAGAGTCTTCGCAGATTTTCCCGTGTGTTTCACTGACTTAGGGTACATTCCTACCTCGTGTCTGACATCAGGTTATCCGTCCTTGGATGCTCAGAAGACCAGAAGTGGCTCGAAATTGGGGGCAAATCAACATTGGGGGAGACAAATCAGAGACTAAGGGCCTATGACCTCATGTCACACACGCGGTAGGAATGTGCCCTTAGCCGAAATTTCCAAGTTCATGTCTCAGCCAGATTTACGAAGTGCTTTGACTTAGAATTTTTCCGAGAACGAGGAAGCTCGACTCTAGAAGGAGTTTAGAAGGGTAAATATTGTTAAATTGTAATGTGTTATATGTGTTAAATTGACGGGTTTCCACCTCCCCTCGTTCTCGACGAACCTGGTGAGCAACGCTGTCATCCAGGATCAGTGGGTTGACACCTTTACCCCTGGAGGACAGCGTGTGGCGATCTGCACGTGCTCCAGGACCGGCCGTCACCTGGCTACGTTTACTCGTCGGCCGGGGTCGAGTCTCTACACACTGACCACTGCGTCTCCTCAGGTCGCTGCTGTCGGTCAGGTGTCCGCGTCAGGTCTGGTGGCCCACGCCTGTGAGTGTCGTTCCCTGTCGCACCAGACTCTTCTCTGGCACCACCGCCTGGGTCACCCCTCCTTGCCACGCCTCCGTGGCATGCACCGTCGCTGCCTTGTGTCTGGTCTTCCCAGGTCCCTCCCTCCCCTCCCTGCCTCGCCTGCGCCGCCTTGCCTTCCTTGCGTCGAGGGGCGGCAGCGCGCCGCTCCTCACTCCTCCTCGTTCCCCCCGACAGAGGCTCCTCTGCAGACCCTCCACCTGGACGTGTGGGGCCCAGCCCGCGTTCGTGGCCAGGGCGGTGAGCGGTACTTTTTGCTGGTTGTCGACGACTACTCGCGTTACACCACGGTCTTCCCCTTGCGCACCAAGGGTGAGGTCCCTGCTGTTCTGATCCCTTGGATCCGCACAGTTCGTCTCCAGCTCCGCCGCCGTTTCCGGACGGATCTTCCTGTCCTGCGTCTGCACTCTGACAGAGGTGGTGAGTTTTCCTCCGACCTCTTGAGGACCTTCTGTCAGGCGGAGGGCATCGAGCAGACCTTCACGCTTCCGGACTCCCCACAGCAGAATGGGGTTGCTGAGCGCCGCATTGGCCTGGTCATGGAGGTCGCTCGTACCTCCTTGGTCCACGCGGCGGCTCCCCATTTTCTGTGGCCGTTTGCTGTCCGGTACGCCGCGCATCAGCTCAACCTCTGGCCCCGTGTCTCCTTGCCGGAGACCTCGCCCACACTGCGTTGGACGGGGGAGGTTGGCGATGCGTCGCGCTTCCGGGTGTGGGGTGCTCGTGCCCTTGTCCGCGATACGTCCGCGGACAAGCTCTCCTCCCGCACGCTTCCCTGTGTCTTCCTTGGCTTTGTCCCTGACGCGCCGGGCTGGCAGTTTTACCACCCCACCTCGCGCCGGGTCTTCGCCTCTCAGGACGTCACCTTTGACGAGTCGGTCCCTTTTTACCGTCTCTTCCCCTACCGTACTGCCCCCCTCCCTCCCCCGCCGCTTTTCCTTGCTCCTGGTCCCCCTCCGGTAGACCCCCTTCCCCCTCAGGGTCCTGCTCCTTCAGGTGTCTCTCAGGTAGACCCTCCTCCCGTCGCTGAGCCTGTCGAGGTCACAGGTGACTCAGGTGCTGCTGCAGGTGGTGCTGCTGGGAGTGCTGAGCCTGCGGGTGCTGGGCCTGGGGGTGCTGGGACTACGGGTGCTGGAGCTGAGGGTACTGTGCCTGAGAGTTCGGAGCCTGGGGGTGCTGAGTCTGGGGGTGCTGCGCCTGCGGGTACTGAGCCTGGGGGTGCTGCTACTGAGCCTACGGAGCCTCGGGTTGCTGCGTCTGGGGGTGCTCCGGTTCGGGGTACTGAGCAGTCTCTCACACCACAGCAGCTTCGTGACTGGTACGTCCGGCGCTTTCGCCGTCCTAGTGGCTCGGCTGGAGCTGGGGGTACTGGAGCTGCCGGGACTGGTTGTTCTGGGAGCGCTACGACTGGAGCTGCTGGAGCTGGGGACTCTGGAGCTGGCGGCGCTAGCGGAGTTGTAGCTGCCGACTCTGGGGGTGCTCTTCCTTGCGGTGCTGCGGACCCTGGGGGTGGTGCTGCTGCTGGTGCTGCGGACCCACCTGGTGGAGCTGCTGCTGGAGCTGAGGACCCGAGTGGTGGCGCTGCTGCTGGTGCTGGGGACCCGGACGCTGGAGTCTCTTCTGCTTCTGGAGACGCTGCGCGGCCGCGACCGTACTTCGTACCGCTCCTTCAGCAGGTTCTTGGGCAGGCTCCTCCTCCTTGTCCTCCTCCCTCCGTAGAGTGTCCTCCGCCTGTCCAGCCGCAGTCACAGTTACCGCCTACCTCGCCTCTCCCTGCTCCCTCTCCTTACACTGGTCCCACAGGAGGTCTTACCGAGCGTCGTGAGCCTGAGTCTCGTCCTGCGTCGCCTGTTCGCACTGCTCGCACTGGTCGTCGTGTCCGTCGTGAGCGTCCTCCTCCTGTCCCAGGCACTCACTACATGACTCTGCGTCCCTCTACTGCTCCTCAGCGTGTCCCTCTGCCGTCTCCTCCTGCGTCCTCTTTGCCTGCTGTTCCGGACCCTGAGTCTGACCGGTATCGTGCTGAGCACCCTACTGTCACGCGTCTCCTAGCTACTGTTGTCACTGACCCTACCTTTGAGTCCTCGGCTGCGTCTGCTCTGGTCGCTGAGTTGGTTGACTTTGCTGCTGCCTGTCGTCTAGACTACGCTGCTAGCCTTGTTGCTGAGTCTGAGTCTGCGTCTGTCTGTCCTCCGTCCGTCGGGGGTGAGTGTGCTCTTGGCACGGACGTCCTTGAGGACAGGCAGGAGGACTTTGACTCTCTTGCGGCTGCTGTACCTCATCTCGTGGCCTGGTTGCTTGCCCCTGAGGGAGACCCGGATGCACTAGACATCCCCACTCCGCGCACTTACGCAGAGGCGATCTCGGGTCCCTACTCCTCTCAGTGGCAGACAGCCATGGACGCAGAGATGGCATCCTGGAAGTCCACAGGCACCTACGTCGACGAGGTTCCCCCTCCTGGGGCGAACATCGTCGATGGCATGTGGATTTTCAGGGTGAAGCGGCCGCCAGGTTCTCCGCCTGTCTTCAAGGCTCGTTACGTTGCTAGAGGCTTCAGTCAGCGTCAGGGGGTCGACTTCTTCCATACCTTCTCCCCCACCCCGAAGATGACCACTCTTCGGGTTCTGCTGCACGTTGCTGCTCAGCGTGACTACGAGCTTCACTCTCTTGACTTCAGCACAGCGTTCCTGCAGGGCAGCCTGCACGAGGAGATCTGGCTGCGCCGCCCACCTGGCTTTACTGGGTCGTTTCCCCCTGGTACCCAGTGGAGCCTCTGCCGGCCAGTCTACGGTCTCCGCCAGGCGCCACGTGAGTGGCACGACACACTGAGGACTACACTTGCGGCTCTTGGGTTCGCGCCGTCTACTGCTGACCCGTCGCTGTTTCTGCGCACAGACACGTCGCTGCCGCCGTTCTACATTCTCGTGTACGTCGACGACTTGGTCTTTGCTACTGCTGACACTGAGGCACTCGCTCGTGTGAAGTCGGAGCTGCAGAAGAGACACACCTGCACTAACCTGGGTGAACTGCGTAGCTACCTTGGCTTGCAGATCACCCGGGACAGAGCTCGCCGCACCATCACCC